CCCCAACCACACATGCCACCGCTGTTACCACTACTTACCCATCTTCCTGCTGCTGCCACCACTTCTCCCCTCCCTCCGCCTGCCTGCCTGCTGCTCTGGCAGCGTGAGTTTCCCAGCTGCATGGCTGAGACCGCAGAACACAGCAGGAGCCTGGCCCCCATGGACTGGGGCGATCACCAGCAGTCCTTCCCTCCTCCCTGTTCTTCTGTGGCTTTTCACACTTGGATGGAAGGAGGCAGGGAACAGCCCCACAGTCCCCAGGCCAGAAGCCTCTACTAGGCAGGGGCTTCTGGTTGGGAGCTGGAGGCAGGGCTGAGGGTGGGGCGAAGCCAGTTAGGCTTTGCTGCTGCTGCCCTGGAGTCCTGCCGCTGGGTCCTCCTAGGTCCCACTGCTTCTGACACCTCGTCAGCTTAGATAGGCAACCACAGATGAATAATAATTAATTTTATACATTTTTTAGGGGCCCTGCAGGCCAAATAGGATGGCCTGGAGGGCTGGATCCAGCCTCCAGGCTGTGTTTTGCCTACCTCTGTTCTAGAGGCTATCGTATAACTCCTGTCCCCCAGTGATGATGTGAATAAGCTGCATCTTTACTCAATACTGTCCCTGTAGAGCCTGTAGGAACAAAAATAAGTGTAATGTCCTAGAAGACTTAAATCAGCAGCAATATTATAAAACAGTCCAACTCTAAAGCTTGAACTCATTGTGTAGTGCCACTGTGGAATAGAACTTATGAATCTTACTATCGCTGTAACCCAAAGATTCTTGAATAAATGCATAGTTCCCAGGAAATTGTGTAATACTTTTGGTACTGCATGAGCCCAGGTTGTTTTGCAGTCATTTTGGAAGGAGACTTGCATAGTGTTTAGAATACTAATGTTGCCAGTTGCTGCCCTACTCATCATACATGTGCTGCCCTTGTGTTGCAGTTAATTCTTACTTTCTTTCCTCTCCTTTTCCTTTATTCAGGCTTTTTTCCAGATCGCACCTCTTCTTTCCAAAAACCTTTCTAAAATCTCCCTCTCTCATTCTGCACATAGTCATCCCTTGACTGAGCTACTGTATCAGTCTCCTGTCTAGTTTCCTGTAACATTCACCTCCTAAGAACTGAAATATTTTCTTTTACCACTATAAGAATGCTGCACCCTTTTATCGAGTCTTTTGCTCCTACAGTTCAAATGTATGTTCTTGACTTAAATCTCCACTGCTGTCAATTTATTTCATGTTACAGTCCAGTTTGTATTCATGCTACATGTTACAGTATCCACTCTTTTTTTTTTTTTTAATCTTAGTGTTCCCTTTGTCTTCTACACTTATCTTTATGCCTTTTTTCATGGTGTTTCCTAGTCTTAGGACATCCTTCTCCCTGTTCACCAAGTATTCTTTCTCTCTTCTGAGGTCCTGATCAAATCCAGGTTTTTTTAATTATTTCTCCCTTCTTTATTCTCAAGTTAAAAATATCAAAATTTAGGATTTCATTGTTCATTTCTCTTGCCCCTTTTGACTGTCTGTGTTCTAAATCTTTCTTTTTAGAAAGTCTTTGCCCTGAACAATTTGCAGTGTCTTTGTCCTTCTCTGTAAAGCATAAAGGCAAGAATTAAGTTCTTAAAATTTGTCTTTACTTTTGTATAGGCTCTGACATCTGTAGTAAATTATAGAGAACCCAAGTCAATCTGCAAAGCACCTGAGCTGGTAAGTAAAAAAAAAAAAAAGAAAAAAAAAAAAAAAAGTATTCTTGCATACTATGATTCTAATTTTAAAAAATCCTCTGACCAGGCATGCAGATGGTGACTACTATTTGACCATCATAAGAAAATAAAATTTCACTTACTGAATCAGCTTAAAGAGTATCTTTAAAAAAAAAATTCAGCCCATGTGCACAAGAAATGCCTGACCAAACAAGTTATCGGTTTTCCACATTCTGCAAAATTTGCATATTGTGGGGTACAATATACATGCTTCTGTACGTGTGGTTCATATTCTCTCCCGTCATTTCTGGTGTGATTTGTGACTTTATGTAAACACTGTGAATATTTATTCTATAGCTTGATCAGTAGGTTTTGGGTTTGTTCTCTTTTTTTTTACTTGAGCTGGCCAAGTACTGTGACAACCTGCTGAAGAAATCGGCAAAAGGAATGACAGAGAATGAAGTGGAAGACAAACTTACAAGCTTCATTACTGTTTTCAAATACATTGATGACAAAGACGTATTTCAAAAGGTAACTTCTGTTGTGTAACACTGAATGTAGCTAACTAATGTTACCATGCACATTTTACATTCACATACCTCTTAAAATTTCTCACAATTGAAGAAATCTTTTGCTTGTTTTTGTTTTATACAGTTCTATGCCAGAATGTTGGCAAAACGATTAATTCATGGTCTGTCTATGTCTATGGACTCTGAAGAAGCCATGATTAATAAACTAAAGGTAATATGAACTACTCTTCTAATAC